CACGACGAGCACGGTCATAGGCACTCACCAACATGCGAGCGTGCTGCAAGTGCTCGAGGGGCTCCCAGGTAGCCTCCTCATCAGGGTAACCCTTCCAACGTACGAGATACTCGACGTGGGGAGGGTTGTCGTCGGTGACTCGGCGACCAATGATGTCTGAAACGAGGAACTCCTCGTGGTCGTCCACCATGAGGGGTGGAGGGCGCTCGTATGGTCGTCCAGTGAAACGCTCAGACGGTCTGCGGTAAGGACGTAGTAACGAGACGTGGTAGACATGATGCACACGAGCCTGGCGTAGGTAGTTGGGCAACTTCACACGAAAGTTGACCGGGCTAGATGTCGTATCAGAACCGACGGCCTGGAGGATGCGGCATGGGCCAAAGAAGCGACGCCGAAACTTGCGAAGCGTGTCCGCTTCGATCTGTAAGTGGCGGGTGTCAATAAGCACATCTTCACCGACTTTGACTGGATGGTCCATCCTCGATCGGTTCGCACGTGCTGCCATGCGAGTCTGGGAAGCGGCTATGTGCTCATGTGCGGTCTTCATGATCGACGTCATGTGTGCAACCCAATCATCCAGCGGGGGACAACTCGTGTCGGTGTGCATCTGTGACGGTCGAAGAAAGTCTGCGGGAACACGAGGGTGATAGCCGAGGTCGCAATAGTAAGATGACATCCCCGTGGCTGGCGAGACGGCGTGGTTGTAGGCTATCTCCGCGTGGGCAAGATGGAGGTCCCACTGCTGGTCGTCACGAACAATCATTCGGAGAGTATCTCCGAAAGTCCTGTTCGTGATCTCGGTCTGACCATCAGTCTGAGGATGGTAAGACGACGAGAAGCGGAGCTGAGTGCCGTACACCTCGCGGAGCCGTCGCCAGAATTGGCTGGTAAAGCGCGGATCACGGTCAGATATGATGCTCAGAGGTAAGCCGTGGTCACGCACAACTCGGTCAAATACGATGCCGGCGACCTCACGTGCACTGATGGCATAGCGGCACGGAACAAAGCGTGCACGCTTTGTGAAGCGGTCGACAACGACCAGAATAGCATCATGACCGTGGGGGGTCGGAGGTCGAAGAGGACCGATACAGTCCATCGAGATGGACTGCCAACGACCCTCAGGGATAGGAAGAGGCTGGAGCAAACCATAAGGTAGGTGGTTCGCACTGTTCATCTCCTGACAGGTGGGATACTCTGCGACGTAGTCCTTCACAAAGTCCTTGCGCTTCGGCCAGACGTACAGGCGGCTCACACGAGCCAACGTCTTGTGGAAGCCCATATGACCGGCGGCTGCCTGGTCATGGAACTCTGCTACTGCTCGGACACGTAGCTGTCCAGTGGAGGGAACGCAAATACGGGGCTCTCTGGTGCCCTGTGAAACGTGCCAGTACATGGGACCGTTGTCCCCGAGAGAGTAGTTCGGGACGGTCTTGCTGCTCCGAAGGGTCGCGTGGATGTCGCGATAGTCGGGGCAGTGGCGGTACTGAGTGCGAAACTCGTCGATCACCGAGTGGTGGACGGTGGTGACCGAGATGAAAGAGAGTTGGATCTGCTCCTGGTCGTGGTCAGGGCGCCGGGATAGGGCATCTGCGACCCGATTAGTCTCACCCTTGATGTGCTCAGTGGTGAAACTAAACTTGGATAGTTCGCGCCACCAGCGAGCCTGCCGAGAGGTGAGCTTCGGCTTAGTCAGAAAAGCCTAGAGTTGTCCGTGCGCATCGTGAATGGTGCCCCGTGCAGGTAGTGCCGCTAGTGCCGAGCGGCATAAACTACTGCGAGAACCTCACGTTCATCAGCAGTGTAGTTTATCTCGGTGGGCAGGAGCTGACGGGAGTAGAAGGCTATCGGACAATCACCTAAGCGAGACTCGATAGTGCCGTCCTCGGCGATGGTAGAAGAATAGTCAATAGAGGGCTCGTCAGTAGAGATGGGAGCCATGGAGATAGAGGGAGGATATGGCTCCAGAGGGATGAGCTCGGCGTCGGGACAGGGTGGATCATAGTGTAAGAGATCCGTCACGTCCACCATAAAGAAGGYGACGTCGTCCTGTYGAATGAAGTGAGYGAACTRCCGAGGCGAGGTGACAGTGATAGAGGGAGATGGTGTGGGCACTGAAGGCTCCGGGGGAGGAGGATCGGGGCGTGGTGTCGCCGTGGTACCTATGAAAGGTACGCGATACGTCTCTCCACACTTCGTTTTGAGAACGAGAGTGTTGGTCGCCCAATCGGCCTCGGTGCTGCGGAACCGACGAGACCACGGAGTGCCGAGAATGAAGTCGTACCCCGTCTCCATCACATTGAAATGTGCAGAGGAGCGGTGGCGACGAGACGTCGGGGAACGATCAATTGGCTCGAGAGTGAGGAAGAAGGGGAGGTCGGTGACCGTCTGATCGAAGAAGCGCTGAGTCTTGTCATCCCCTAGAGTAACGGAGATGGGAGTCGGAGACCCTGTCATGGGTAAGCGGGCTTCCTTCACCACACGTGGGTGAATGAAGTCGCCCTGAGAACCGGAATCCCACAACGCTGAGTACACCCTCGTGGAGGTCCCAAGTCGTACGGGGATGATCGGGAGGGTGCGATCAGGGTCAGAGAGGATGGCGAGAAGGCGACGCAGTGCATCGACATGCAGGGTGAGTCGCTCCTGACGAGCCTGGAGCATGCTCAAGTCCAGAAGAGAGGACACAACGTCCTTGCGAGTAGCAAGCTGCTCGCTGCAACGGGCTGAGCGAATGGCTCGACGCGTCGGTAGTCGCGGCGGGGAAGGAGGGGAGACGGTGGTCTGCGGAGGCGCAGACGGTACTGCGACAGAGGGCTGAGAACACTCTGTCGAGTCCTGCGATACCTCAACTCCAGTAGCGAGAGGGGCGAACCGCGACAGAGATGTCGGGAAGCCCACTACTGAGGAGGGCGCAGGTGTACACTGCACCGTGGCTAGGAGGCGCCGGGGGGGGACTGAGCACGGCGCTGACGAGAAAGGTCAGCGTAGTGGTGTTCGAGGGCGGTGGTGTAAGGGCACCGCGAGGAGGTATGACCGTCCAAGCGGCAGCGCAAACACCCACGCCGGCCTAGAATAGCCGCGCGCTCCTCAGGGGAAAGGACACCACGAGGAGGGACGAAGCCCTGAGGGAGGTCCTCCTGAGGGACCTCGGGGGGCGACGTGCCAGCGTGACCGGGGCGGCTGCGTGCTCGAGAGAGGGCAGAGAGCGCGAGCTGAAGGCGCTCAGCTGCAGGGAGGGTAGAGTCCTCCAAGTGATAGTGGACGGCCTCGCAGAGATCGAGGTCGTAGCTGTGGTCGCCCTCAGGTGACAGTGGGGCAACAGCGTCCTGCTCACCATACTCCAGCGCGTTGAAGCGGCGCGAGAAGTGGCGGCCCTGCTGCGTGGAACGGCGGGGGCGACCGCGGAACAGGGAACGGCGCTGGGAAGTGCCGTGAGAGGAGGAGGAGGCGTAGCCCGTGCGCTGGGGTTGGGAGGAGGAGGCGGGGTGAAGACGGGTTCGCATCCGCTGATGGTCCCTGGCGGCCTCGTAAGCCTGTGGGGCCGATGTGAACTCGTACCGCCATAGCTCGGAGCGGTACTCGAGCGGAAGGCTGACCAAGAAACGATCGATAAGGGCAGCCTCGGGGAGGAACGCCACGTCGCAAACGAGGCGGGCGTCCTGAAAGACCTGGATGTGGCGATCCAGGCCAGCAGCGCCACCAAAGTCGGACCAGCGTGTAGTGACGACACGCACGAAGGCGTCAGTCACGTCGTATCGGGCTCCGAAGCGATCCTCGAGGAACACCTGGAAATCCACGAAGGTCGGAGTCCGATCCTCACGAAGGGAGTAGGCATAGAAATCCTCCCAGGCCTCGAAAGGACCGCCATGCAGGCACGTGGAGAGGTGACCCACCCACGTCTCGGGTGTGGCACCCATGAGCTGGAGTGTGCGGTGGCAGACTGCAGCCACCGAGACACGCGTATGCCTGTACCGTCATACAAGGCGATGTCCGACAAGCGGATGAGTGGTGCGCCACCGTTTTGGCGGCGAGGGGATCGAGGAGCGGAGGCCTGTGCCACGGCTGAGTAAGTCGGCGCAGGTCCTGGGGAAAGGGGCGCAGCCGACTGTGCGCCCGGGCCACATGGGGGAGCGGCGGTGGCAACAGCGGCAGGTTGCGAGGGTGCTGCGGTAGAAGAGGTTGCAGCAACCGCGGGAGTAGGAAGAAGGTAGGAAGGAGTTGTATATGGTGCAGGGCGCGGAAAGCGAGCCTGCATGGGAGGAAGGGTAGAGGAGGCAGGGGATGCGGCCGAAGGCGCGGCCACCTGTGAGGGTGGGGGGTGGCTGAAGTCGTAAGAGGGCGAGGTCGGCCCGGAGCTGGGCAATCTCGTCCGCGAGACCCCGAACGTAGGTCGATCGAGGGGTGGCAGGAGGAAGAGTGGAGGGGGTGGACGCACAAGCAGTGGGGGCATCCCCGAGGGGGAAGAGCCAGGTGGCGCTGCGGTCGTGCGAAGGGGAGGGAGAAGCGGGGCACCCGGAAAAACTGAGACCATGGTAGCGGGTTGTTGTACCGTGGCCGTAGCGACCGGGATCTGTGCGGGTGCGCCCGTAGACTGAGGGGGGGCGTGGCTCGTGGCGGCCGTCGTGCTAGGGGCGTGGACAGTCACCAAGATGGTCGGGTCAGGGGCAACGGAGGAGGAAGCTCCGCCGTGGCCACCCTGTCGGAGGACGGGGGACTCGGACTGGGATCCAGGAGATGACGGACACGCAGCGTCCTGGAGTTGCTGCATGCCGGCGGCAAGGGTCACCACCTGCGCCTGTAAGAGCGCGAGGGCCGCAAGTTGCGTCTGGATGGGCGCAAGGGTCGCGAGTTGTGCGTGGATGGGCGCAAGGAGGGAGGTGAGGAGGGTGTGTAGATCCCCCTGGGGCTGATGGCCCTGGTCCGCCGGCACGGGTGTGGAGCCCGATGCAGTGGTCATCGCTGTGTCGGCGGCGTGTGACGCACCGTCGGCCATGGGAAGATGACGG